CCAGCATCACAGCAACACACAAGCCCCCACAGTACAACAAACTGACACCTATGTGTCTGTGTGGGGGATCCAAAACTTAGCAGCTGAAAAAAAAATGCCTGTTTTATTTTTGGTTCACAATTTTGCCATTGGGCAGGGTTCAGTGGGAATAACTTATTTCTGCTCCACATGCGGCATTGGCCAGGTGGCTTGAGTGGCTGGGGGCTGACTGGAATAGCGGAACTCAGGTCATGGGCCTCCTTGGTTCTGCTATTGGCTCCTTGGTTCTCCATTTGGCTCTCAGTTTGGTTACCATGGACTTTCTCACGGCGTGGTGGTTTCTGGGTAGTTGGACTTCTTACATGGTGTTGGCTCTCTCCAGTGTGAAAAGTGAAAGTCACTAGGCCTTCTTATGTCCCAGGCCTGAAACTGGCACTGTGTAAATTTTGCCACTTGTTAATGGTTAAAGCAGGTTACAAGGTTATGCCCACATTTAAGGGAAGGGGACTTGAGAAGGTTGTGAATACCAGGAGGTGGCCAGGAGGCTACCACAGGAGTGGAGGAATTTGCCTTGAACAGGATTAGACAAACTTCAGGTGAGGCTGGAAGTAAAGCTACAAGGAGGCTGTTGTAGTGTTAAGTGGCAAAAACAGCTGTAAGGTGGGGGAGCGGAATTGTAAATCTGGTTTAAGATGTTACTTTTGAGATGTCGGAGGGATTTCCTGGTGGAGTCGTACAGCAAGTTGTTGCATCATTAAATGTGTTGCTTGTGAATTTAACAAAGACGAAATATCACATTTTATTTCAGAATTAAATTATGTGAATTCTTTGGAATGACTTCTAGAATTCTTCTTAAGCCAGAGTTTAAAGCAGGGAAACTTTTAAGGTGGAATTTCATATATATAATTTTTTTCTTTTCTTTTTTCTTTTTTTTGAGAGAGTGGCAAAGGGAAGGTTTCCCCACCTAAATCTCCCCCGAAAAATATGCTAGCATTTGCCAAATTCATCAACTCAGTCATTCAACAAATATCTGACTCCCTTCTAGGAGCAAACAAGTGATACAATTCTCGACACAAAGAATTTAGAATTAAGAGTTGTAGCAATTCAGGTCAGTTTTGTTCAATACAAAACAAATATTAAGAAAAACCTCCATATTTCACAAATGCACATGAAAATTTCTCTTTGTTGAATAGAAAAAAGAGAACGCTGGGAGAGATGGCCTAAAGAATGTTGTTGCTAGGAAAAAGCCCATTGCCATCGAGTCAATTCCAACTCATAGCAACCCTATAGGACGGAGTAGAACTGCACCACAGGGTTTCCAAGGAGCAGCTGGTGGATTTGACCTGCCGGCCTTTTGGTTAGCAGCCGAGCTCTTAACTACTATGTCACCAGGAAAAGCCTCTCCTAAGTTCTGTTTTAAATACAGGTGAAACAGCTTTCTCTGCCATCACGAGTAGCATTATAATACGATGTACAGGGAAAGGCAGAGAGTGCTGACACACTACAGGGATTGCAACCAATGTCACAAAACTATTTGTGTATAAATTTTTGGATGAGAAATAATTGGCACTGTAAACTTTCACCTAAAGCACAATAAAATTTTAAAAAAATCAGAATATGAGCTTAAATCAGATTTTGGTAGAAACTTTTATTGTCCTCCCTACTAACTCTTACTGATACTTTCTTTTACAAAGTTTCTTTTAGAGATAATTACTGAAATGCTTGCAGATGTCATAATATAACACCTGGGTTCTGCTTTCCAAAGAATCCAGGGAGGGAGGAAGTCAGCATGAGTCCAGAACAAGAATGGCATGGTTGATTTTCATAGCCGGGTAACGGGAATATTGGCATTCACTATCTTGTACTTTTTACTTTTGTGTATGTTTGAAATTTTCCAAAATAAAGTATGAATTTTTTTTAAAAACTTTGAAAAAAGCTAGAAGGAAACTTGCAGAAATGTTAACATTTATCTTTGGGTGCAGAAATGTTAACATTTATCTTTGGGTAAAAGTACTAAAAATGTTTTTCCCTCACATTTTTGTAGATACTCTGTATTATTCCATGTGACCATTATTACTTTAACAAGGACAAACCCCTCAAAATAATTTTTAGAATCTATTTAAGAATCAAAAAAAAGATTCTTATTAAGCCTTTTCTTAACTTTGTTCCTAGCCTTGCCACTTTCTGGGCTAGAACCATAAACTGGCTCTGCATTTATAGATTGTCTACTGAAAAACATATTCTGAATTTTGCTTTTCTAGTCACAGTCTGAAAGTGGTATACATATATCTCTATCTTGCTCTTGTCCTTTAAATCAGTTTCTCGATGTAAGAGGCCTTGGGCAAGTTACTTAATCTCTTTGTGCTTCAATTTCCTTGTCCCTTTAAGTAGAAAAACCTACCATGGTCAATTTTTCTAAGGAGTGAAAATCTTTTCTGAAATTGTGATATATTTTAGAGATACATAATGAAATATTTGAATATATCATGGACTGCTAGAAGAACGAACAAATCTGTCTTGGAAGAAGTACAGCCAGAATGCTCCTTAGAAGTGAGGATGACAAGACTTTGTCTCACATACATTGAACATGTTATCAGGAGGGACCAGTCCCTGGAGAAGGACATCATGCTCGGTAAAGTAGACGGCCAGTGAAAAAGAGGAAGCCCCTCAATAAGATGGACTGACATAGTGGCTGCAAAAATGGGCTCAAACGATTGTGAGGATGGCACAGGACCAGTGTTTCATTCTCACTGAGTTGCTATGAGTCGGAACCGACTCAATGGCATCTAACAACAACAACTGAAATATTTATGAATGGAGTGATATATC